AGGTGGGGTGGGAGCGTAGGAGGCACGCTTGGGTGCATATGCAGGCACAGATAGTTAGGATCCTGACCCCCGAACACACGACGGCACTACAGAGGAGCACAATACCTACATGGGTTACCCCAACACAAGCAGACTACCATGTGCGACTAGTGAGGTGTGGCAGCACTGTATAGCACTAGATAACTACGGCCTCACCCCCTCAGGAGCATATGTCATACTCCTCTGAAAGAGTTTAACTGTGGTATTTGCCCCGAAACACCGGATAACACAAGTAATTCATCTGTTGATGGTAACCCGGTTGTCTACATTCTACCCATTGCCTGTATACCTTTATCATGAACACTGTTTAGTCGTAACTGGGGAACCCGACTGGACCTCACCGCATTGAGCAGGTCCCCCCTGCAGAGATCGAGTGTGTTTTCCTGTACCCCGATGTCCAAGTTATTAAACTGCCATTGTTCACTTGTATTATCATCAATACTTTTAAAAAAATAAAGAATGTCAAAAAAATAAAATGTCATGCAAAACTTGAAAAATAAATTATTTTAATTTCTCACATTTTTCTAGATTTTATTCATATTAAAATATGTTTCCTATAAGAATAAAGCCATATTTCTCCTGAACAAAATGAAATATATTAGTTGAAATATTAATATGAAAGAGGTAAATTATGGTTGAACAGACTTATAGTCAAATTTCAGGTTTTGTTTTAATTAGAACTTGTACTATTGCCTTCATCGTTAAGGGGTTTAAATTATTGGTTGAGCTTTCCAAATGATTTAAGATTTTTGGACAAACTTTTAAAACAATTTTTTCAACATATTGAAACAACAAAAAATATATCAGATCTAAAAAAATAAATCAATATGTCACAAAAAATAAAAATACTACACAACTAAAATATTTTTCATTAAATAAAAGATGTATGAAGATTTATAAGACCCAGCTGCTATAACTTCTGGAGACTGGGCCTTGATTCCCCAATATATTGGGGTATTAGAAGTAGTATTTACTGCTGTCGACAGAATGTTTTATGTGTGTAAATGTTATGTATGTATTTTTTTCTGTTAGCATCAAACAAAAATGTAAAAGTAAAATACCTTATGCAGGGTCGTACCTAGAGCATTTGGCACCCGGGGTGGGTCCTATTTTTGGCACCCCCCCACCCCCCTCAACTTTAAATGTAAAAAACAACCAAACATTTTTTTAATGGATCAACAGCAAAAAACAAATGTGAGGTAGGCTGAACTTGATGGACGCAAGTCTCTTTTCAGCTATGTAACTATGTAATGTATTTAGCACTGAGCAGTGTTTGTGTGTGAATGTATGCATGTTTTTGTATGGAGTATGTGTGAGTGAATGTAGGGGTGTGTTTGTATGTAGTTTTGGTGTTTGAATGCAAGCATGCATTTGTGTGGTATTTGAATGCAGTGATGTGGTTATATAGAATAGTGGGGTTTGTATGTAGTGTTGACATTGAAATGCATGAGTGCATTTGTGTGTAGTGTTGGCGAGATTTTGAGATGTCTGCACTTATACACATACACGGACATACACACATGCAGATACATATACACACACACAGAAACACTGTGCTCTGCATGCTGGCATCTGACAACACATTTGCATATAATTCACATTAGCCACCCAGATTTCTTGTTGTGGGCTGGCTGACACCTCTTAACTTGGATCTTTGTTTAGCAGATAACTTCCCTATTTGCTATTCTTATGCGAGCTTGCCATATTTAAGGACACCAAATAAGGGAACTATCTGCTAAACAGCACTCTCATTTGGTATATTTAAATATGGAAATCTCGCATACGGGCACCAATTCAGGGAATTATCTACTAAACAGCTAAAGGATCAAAATTTAAAAAGCCCTTTTCTTATTTTCAGTTGTTTAGTAGATAAATCCCTTATTTGTTATCCTTATATTTGATTGCAATATTTAAGGACACCAAATAAGGGAGCTATCTACTAAACACATACACAGAGATACACACATTTACACACACAATCACAGATATACACAAACACAATCACAGACCCACACACATACAATCACAGACACACAATCACATACACACGCAAACATTACATACATACACACATTTAATAAATAAGAGGTCCCTACCTTGCTCTAGAAGGGCTGGAGTGGATCCTCAGTCCCTGGTGGTCAGTGGTTGCTGCTGGGATCTCTGTACTCTTCCTGCACAGGCCCCTCGCACGTCCTGTAATGACGCCGAGGCCGCGATGACACCATATCCCGGCTGCCATCTCACTGCAGGGCAAAGACCGTCAGACACAGTCAGATGCACACAGTCCCACACACAGTCACTCACACAGGCAGACAGTCAAACACGCAGTCACAGGCAGACAGTCACACACACACACACAGACATACACGCAATCACAGGCAGATAGTCACACAGGCAAACAGTCACAATACATACACACAGTCACAGACAGTCACAAACACAATTCCAGGCAGACAGTCACACATACACACACAGTCAGAGACAGTCACACACAATCACAGGCAGGCAGTCACACACACACCATCATAGGCAGACAGTCACACACACACACACCATCACAGGCAGACGGTCTCACACACACACACAGAGGCAGACAGTCACACATACACACAGTCACAGACAGTCACACGCAATCACAGGCAGACAGTCACACACACACACCATCCCAGGCAGATGGTCTCTCTCATACACACACACACACACACAGGCAGACACCAAATAATCACAGATATACATTAACACAATCATAGGCAGGCAGTCACACATACACACACACACACACACACACACATTCACAGACAGTCACACACACACTGTCACTCAAACAATCACAGGCAGACAGTCACACCTACACACACACAGAGTCACAGACAGTGATACACACACACACACACACAAAGTCACTCAGACAATTACAGGCAGACAGTCACACATACACACACAGTCACAGACAGTCATGCACACACACACACATACACAGTCACAGACAGTCACGCACACACACACAGTCACAGACAGACAGTCACACACAGAGTCACTCAGACAATCACAGGCAGACAGTCATACATCCACACACACACAGTCACAGACAGTCACACACACACACAGAGTCACTCAGACAATTACAGGTAGACAGTCACACACACACACAGTCACAGACAGACAGTCACACACACACAGTCACAGACAGTCACACACACACACAGAGTCACTCGGACAATTACAGGCAGACAGTCACACATACACACACACAGTCACAGACAGACAGTTACACACACACACACAGTCACAGACAGACAGTCACACACACAGAGTCACTCAGACAATCACAGGAAGACAGTCACTCACACAGTCACACACTTACACACACAGTCAAAGACAGCCACAATCACAGTTACACACAGCACACACTCTCTCACTTACAGTAAGCTTGGGCTGGAGGAGGAATGGATTCATTTCATTCCCTCCTGTGCTGTAGTTGGGGAAGCAGGGATTCCTTCCTGCTTCCCCTCTGTGTGATCAGAAAGATCTCCGCCCCCGCATCAGGCTTGGCTCCGCCCCCACGGCTGTTCTAACTCCACCCCCAACTTTCTGTGCAGCCAGCTGAGCCAGGTCTCCTGCTCCCAGTCCCAGCCCCTGCGTGTGAGCTGTGTCGGCTGCCCGACGCCCCTGCTGCTATGGTGTCCGGTGCAGCCACACAGCTCACTGACTCCCAAGCCTGGCCAGTCCTGGTGGCACCCCCCTGCCTGATGGCACCCGGTACGGACCACACCCCCACCCCCCTGCCCTCGCCGCCCCCCACCCCCCTTAGTGCGCCACTGACCTTATGTAAAAGATATTTTCAAAGGGCAATATTCATTTAACATCAAATATTTAGCTATGAAACATAATTTAATATGAACAAAATAATAAAAAATGGGAGAAAATAATAGGTTTTAATTTTTTTAGTTCTACGTGACATTTTAACTGTGAATGTCATAATACTGTTTGCTTTTACTGCAATATAATACACATATTTGTATTCAGCAATGTCTCACATTTAAAACAGTACCCCCTATGTACAGGTTTTATGGTGTTTTGGGAAGTTACAGGGTCAAATATAGCATGTTACATGTTTCAGTTTTTTCACATTGAAATTTGCCAGATTGGTTACGTTGCCTTTGAGACCGTATGGTAGCCCAGGAATGATAATTAGTGGACAACCCAAGGTATTGCAAATGGTCTGTGACCAGTCTTTTTTAGTAGCCACTTGGTCACAAACACTGGCCAAAGTTAGTGTTAATATTTGTTTGTGTGTGAAAAAGGCAAAGAACTAATTTGAACGCCAATTTTGGCCAGTGTTTGTGACTAAGTGGCAAATACACAACTATGTAGCACTATCTATATAATGTCTTTTAATTATGAAAAGAGCGAGAAAGATAATAAGCTAAGATTGAAATAGTAATACATTAAATCAAATACTACAGGCTAATGGAAATAGGTATTTTGTACATTTCAGAATTTAAACAAAGTGTGATTTTTATTTGTTTATTTTTTATGGGGTTTTTTCTCCTCTTTTCTCTTTCTTCTTTTTTATAATATATCCCTGTAACGGAACCGCTGGCACCCCGACCGGGTACCTTCCGCCGACGGATGCTCCTAGTGCTTTCCGAGGACTCCAAGCACTCTGCCTGACACCATAACCACTGCAGACCCCACGAACCGCCGCAGCTTGGTTGGGATCTCGCCGTCTCCACCCACTCTGGACCCAGGACCAGGGTCCAGCTTCCAGCAGGTCGACCTCTCTCCGAATTCCAGAGAGCAGGAACAGGAACAAGCTCTTAGCAGAGCTTAGTGATTATACCCTGGGGAGTATAGTGATTATAGCAATCCCCAGAGTGTAGTTTCTCCAATCCCCCAAACATGAGCCGAAACTTCATGAAGGTACAAGATGATCTGACTCCAATGAGCGTTTATTACTCCTTATATACAAGTTTTCAGGTCAGAGGCACACCCCCTGGACCTGGTGGTAAACTGTGACAAAAGGGCCACAAACCAATGGGAACACTAATTAACATGATAACACTCTCACATACACAATGAAATCCCTCCTCTCCATCCTGGAGATAATTGGCTTAAGGCACTGCAGTAAACTCAATTATCTCCAGGTACAGAAAATATCTACATTTAACACTAACAGCAAAATACATAAAAGTACATAAAAATACATAATTCTTATTTTATTACACAGAACCCCCACATTTAACCTATCCCCAGATAGCTCGGATCTGAGCGCCCAATCTAGGTGAACAGCGCTCAGATCCCATGAACAGAGTAGATTTTCCATAAAGCATAGCAAGGGCTGTTGAGAAACCAAGGAGGGACAAAAGCAGTCAGTTCCAACTGGTTTGGCAGTGTGCCTGGGACAACGCCCTGCTGAAGAACAATAGACAGGAAACGGGGGAGGGGAAGAAACACACCTTCCCATGGATTCAAATGGGAAGAAACTGTCTTTAGAAGCCAATAAGCCCCAAATAGTCTTTTTAAATGGCAATACACCCCAGGGCCATAGTCATGAGGAAGGAGGCTGGCAATCAGGCTCCTCCAAAAGCTGGGGGCAAAGGGCAGCTTGTCACCTAACAATCCAGGGACAAAAGGCATTTCGTCACAATCCCTAAAAAAGGAGATTCAGAAATACACTATGACTAAATATGCTATACTACCAATGGATATATGAAGTATTCTTTTTGGAATAATTGGTACCATCTTGACATATAATAAGATATACAATACTGTTTATGTTGAAAGAATGTTAGAAAGGACAATTATGTATATAAAATTTTAATTTATGGAGGTTATTTACTATTATATGTCTAAACCACTTGTTTAGTGTTTTATATATATGAAATAATAAATTAAAAACAAAGAAAAACTATATTTTTCATAATATTTAATCTTTTAAAAAGTGTACCCTAGATATTTATTTATTTGGAAAGCTTATTCAATGACATTAAATTGAGGCAACATGAGACAGATGTTGAAGAAATCATTGAAGAATTATGATATTTGCGGTCAAAATAGGTGAGATTGAGGTAGAGGCTCACGACCTGGATTTTCCAGGACCAGGTGTGGTCTCTTCTCTCCTTACTTTGTTACTGTAACCTAAAAAAGGAGTTGAGCTTTTTCTTCTGCTTCTGACCCACTTCAGGGGTAGAGCTGGGTGAGATATCATGCTCTCAATTTAGGATATGATGGAGTCATTATTCTGGCACCAAGACCTCTCTTTTTTTCATGAGATAATGTATTGAACTAAACGATTGTAACTAAGGTTGTAACACCCATTAATAACTCAATATGTTTAAACAGAAACACCTCTGAATATATATGATATACAACATTCCAAAGAGCCAGATATTATTTCCTTCTGCTGTGTCTTTTCTGCCGTGTCCACTGCTGGTAGTTGTCAATGTCAGTTTATTTACTTTTTGTCAGATACATTTCCCAGTATTGAACATGGACCCACTGGTGATATTTTTTACTATTGTTTTATGTTGAGTTTTTAGCTCTTATGTGTGTACAGTTATATTGTGTTAGATCAATATATTCCCAGCATATAGCCCAGTGACAATGTATGTGAATATTTTTTTTTGGAGTTTTCAAAAACTGAAGCCATAAGATGTCCAAAGAAATGTAACATTATGTAAACAGACAGCAATATTGAGAGTCACATAAGGTTTATCATCACTTGTATAATGTGCCTGGTACCAGCATGCAGAACCTTAAGTGCACATATGCAGTACCATATGTTTCATACTTTAACCCTTCCTCGTATACACAATGCGACATCCCTGCACTTTCAACCTGTCATATAGATTTACAACTATTAAATAACTAAAGTAGGTTATAACTTTGGAGGGTGAGGACAAGGGGGTTTGAGGTGGGGATGGGCATATACCATGCCACGCATCAGCTCACGTAGGTGATCCATTTCATTTTGCAATAAAAGCATTCCACATCTGACATCCCTCTCGAGGCACCCCTCCTATCTGAAGCTGGTCCAGGACTATTGTTTCATATTTAGAATTAAGTGAAACTTGAGAGATTAATTCTGTCACCCCAGGGACGTTACTAGATTTCCATTTACTAGTTATGGAAAATATTACTGAGTATAAGATTTGAAATAACAGTTTCAGTGTTAGCTTTGGAAAGTGTTCCGGCAACATGAAAAGAAGGAAAACCTCCGCTAAAGGCTCAGTATTTAGCCCCACGTTATCAGTAACAAATCTGGCTACTGTCTGCCAGAAGTCAATATTACTTGACATGTCCACCAAGTGTGGAACATGGTGCTTACCTCAAAATGGCATCTCCAACAAATGTTGCTAGAGGCTGGGTATAAATGTGCCTATCTCGCAGGCACTAGGTACCATCTGTACTGTAAGATGCAAATTATCTCCAGATAGGTAGCACATACTTTAAGACCTTTATGGGAGGTGTATGTGTGTTCCCATTTCTCCCCGATCAATTTTGTATCCCAATTTTTTATGCCAAGCCTGGACGAAGCTCCATTCGGAGGCTCGCAACTCTCGATTCACAAGCGAATAACATATTGACAGCATTTTTTCATGGAGCTGCTTTGTAAACAATTTATTTCAAATACTGTTTTTGTGCCTAATCATTAAATTCATGAAGCGCCAATATCAAAAAGCAATAATCAATTACCCTAAGGTTTTTAAAGATATTGGTGCGCACCAAAACCCTATTTGGGATGAGTGAATTGAGTATTTGATAAATACTCAATAATTAATAAATAATCAATACAAACTTTATTGACTAACAAACTCTATTGACTAACAAAGACTTAATTAATAATCATTCAGCTTAAAATTCAGCTCAAAGAAACAGCTTAATAAAAACAGCTTAAAGAAACAGCTCAATGTATACATCACCAATGTATACAGAGGCTCGCTGCACTCGACTGAGAGAACTTCTAGCAGTCAGTCTTGAAGGGGACCTCTCTTACTGGGAAATCAGCAGGACCAGCAATACGCGTCCGTATTACAGGTGAGTAGTACTCCAAATGAGTGCCAAGTTTTCTAGTCTTTTATAAGAAACTTAATAATAAAAGGGGTGAATAGTCTGTACTTATCAGTGCAGCCCAGCAAAAACCTTGCAAAAGCATTGGATGGGACCTGCAGCTGGCAAGGATTTTCAGTCCCACAACAATGCCATGCCAGATCTGTTTGGTTAATATCTCTGTTCTCATAACTATCTAAAAAGCTAGCTCTGTTCTCATAATAGTCTCGTGAAGCTATGCATGAGTCATTCTGGTGCTGTGTTTTGTGGTTATTAACATTTTCAGTACTTTGTACCGGCACCATCTTGACTATCTATAATAGTTTGATTTGCTCAATAGTGATCAATCAATCATTCTTAATTAATATGGAATATTATTATCACAACTGTAAGACAGGTCTCAGGTATATGAGCACCTGGATACCTTTTCATTTTAGCATACTTGTCTTAATTGCAAGTATGAAAATATTATAGTTGATGGTAGGTTAAAAAGTTTCTGTAAGTCTGGGAATTTCAGCAAAGTCTCCTGGTGTAACAGTTGATAGACATGTATAACCCCGCACTATCCCCCTTGTGTGTAATTGAAAGTAGGGTTGTTAATATGGATTGAATGAATTGGTGTTGCTGATGACCATGGTGTGTGCCCACAATATTTGTGGCGTGTTTGTTGCCATGTCAGAAGCATTAGCTGTGTTGTGGGTAATAGGGAAGACAAGGCCAATTTATCCAATGTAGGTAACCATAGTAAGTATTTAACGTTTGGGTATTTTGCCTATGAGGATTCAATTTGTACCCACTGAGGATAATATTTAAGGGAATGGGTGACAATTATGTCAGACATTTGGGCCACTTAAGCTTTCACGTCTGCCACTGAACGTGCCTAAACCCTTGCTGCTACTCTCGGTCTTTTATTATTCACACAAATTTAGGTAACACGGAGTGTACTTATTTTAAGAATCTTCCTTGTGAAAACAAAAACAATGGTATACCTAAAATACAATATTTGAGAAAGCAACTCATAGGGTAATATAGTAAAAATACTTAAAATCTCAAAATTCCAAGCTTAAACTCACAAAATTCTGACAATTTGGGCTCATCAGTATGATGTAGATTCCATAGATTCAGCGTTGTCAAGTATTCAGAAGACCCATGCAAAAACAGAATTAAAAACATAGTGCAACACTGTGATGTAAAGTATCTAACACACTTTAATCTGTTCCACAGAAACAAAGTCTGAAATCAAGATCGTAGCGGAGGGAGCTGTACAGTGCTGTAGTAACTGGAAGAAATTTGTAGAGAAAGCTGAATCTGCGTATAGTCTCATTTAAGAATAGCCAGTTAAGGTGATCAGACGCTTTCTCAGCGCATAGGGAAACCAGCAATTCCCTGCCCCCACCCGGTCTGCCGCAGACTGTGTATAATATACAGCACTTTTCTAGTGTGGTCAACTCCTTCTCGCTTCTTCATGAATCCCACCTGGTCATCATTAATTAATATTGGTAGTACAGTGGTCAACCTTTCTGCAAATATATTTGCGAACAAATTGGCATCTGTGTTGAGATAGATCTAAAGTTTTGGAAATCGGTGGGTGGTTTATCCGGTTTGGGCAATACGATTAAATGTGGCAATAAAAATTCTGGGGGGAAGATTCTTACGGCTACATTAAACATGTTCATTAAGTGCAGAATTAATATAGCTTGAAAGCAAGTGTTTGTCACGCCGCATCGTTGCGGCGGCATTCCCCTTAGTCTCCTACCTGTTAGATCCTCGCACATCTTGATCCGGCGGCATTCCCACATGGTAAAGGGAATGCCGCCAATCAGTCACCAGTGGCCGGGTCTATATCATTAAAGACGCCGACCGCTGCAACTGTGTTTAACGTAAGGGATTTCTCTTTAACCCTTAAAGGGCCAGATCATTAACAATGATGTGGGTGTGTTACACACACACACACACATGGTCACATGTTTCACTACAGCCTATCAGGGAACATCGTAACATATTTAAATCTAGTTTGTCCTTTTCTCGGTGCCCTGTCGTGGTTTCCATATTGGTTGTCCGAGAGCGTGTTCCTTGTTTTGATTTCTTGTGTATCTGACCTTGGCTTCCCTTTTTGACTATCCTATCTCTGTA